GTAGTAATTCACCATGGTGTTGGCCGCCTCCTCCGTGTTCATCTCGATGAAGGCCTGGTTCTTCCCCTTCAGCATCAGCAGGTTGGTCACCTTCCCGAAGGGCAGCCCCAGGGAGATGACCTCCCCCTCGGTGACATCGCCTGGCAGCTTGCGGACATGCACCACGCGAGAAGGGGCACCCGAGCTCCGGCTGTCACCTTTGAACTTCTTGGTGTCGTTCCCGTTGGCTGCAGGGAGGTGGGTTTGTGGGACTTCCTGCTGTGCCGCACCCTGACCCCCAGGTGAGGACAGGCCAGAACCACCCCAAAGAGGAAATGAGCAAGCAGCCTACCTTTGCACCCCCAGCCTCACCTGCAGACATGGAGTCACACCCCAAAAGGAAAACAAGCAAAGCAGGCCTACCCTGTGGCCGTGCATGCGCCCCCCCACCCACCCACCCAGAGCCTCACCTGCAGACGCGGAGTTGCTGCTCATGATAAAGGGCCCGTTGGTGACGCAGGCAGAGAAGAGCTCTTCAGATCCCCGCTGGAAGAGACAGGGCCTCAGGGAGCCAGCCCCCACCCGGGGTCCAGACCCCCACCGGGCCCACAAGAACACAACCACAGCCGGGCTCAAGCTGGCAACCAGGCCTGGTCAGCCCCGGCAGACAAAGTCCCCTTATCGCCCCACATAGGCAGGCGCCCTATTTCCCAGCCAGCCCTGGTAACCCAATCCACCTGTCCTGCCCAGTCGGACAGGGTGTGTATGCCGAGGGGCACCCTATCTTCCGGCAGACCCCAGTGGGTGCTGAGGGTGCAGCAGTCTGCACAGCGTGACAGGCCCCCCCACCAGGGACAACAGCTGGGGCTTTGTGAAAAGGACACAGGCAGGGCACCCCCACCTGATTCCAGCAGCCCAGGCCCTTGAAGCCCAGGTGCAACAGTGGCACCCAGCCCCCAGCCCTCCCCACCCTGTGGCTCCGCAGGCGCTAGGCAGGGCGGGAGTTTCCCCGAAGCATTCTTGGCCCCTGGCCTGAAGCCCTAACTGTGGTTCCCATGACCACAACCAAGGCCCACGCCCACCAAGGAGCTCCAGAGCTGCTCAGCAGGGGGCGCTCACCACCCTGGGCCAGGACCCTGTCACAGCGCTCTGGTGGGAGAGGGCACCCACTAGCGACCGACCCAACTAGATACAGCCCTCTAGACACACATCCAAGAGCCCTTCAGACTCAAACCCCACCCCTTACCAACAGATCTATCTACTGGAAGACAGAGCAGCAGCCACCTGGGAAACCCCCAAACCAGATGCTGGCCAAGCGCCACCACAAACTCCCCCCATCCAAAACCAGCAGACAAACAAGCCTCGAACTCCCTGTCACAGAGCCCGTGCAGGCTCATTCATACAATACAGCAAGCTGCCCATGGTTTCACATTTCCACCACAAGAGTAGAAAAAGCCATCATTTCCTGGGGACCAGGCTAGTGGTTTCGAACTGCTGGCCATGCTAGTTAGCAGCCCAAAGTAGAACTACCCACAGCAAACCAACCATCTGGTGACTGGTAGCTATGTCCCCCAAAGCAGTACCATCAAGGAGGCCTCCCCTTAGTTTTGGAGACCCCATACTGCCCCCCACAAGAGGAAGTTAGCAGGCCTACCTTTGTACCAACTGCTATGTCTGGAACGATGCTAGGGAGAGAGGAAAGGGGTGTTAGCCTGACAGGGCTCCTGCTGGGACGGGACTCCTCCCTGGGTGCCCCAGATCGGGAACCAGAGCCCGAGAACGTCCTGTGCCGCCAAGTCTCCTGCCCTGTGGAGTTGAGGTCACACAGCAGTTCAACCTCCGCAGAACTGGGAGCTGGCTGCCCTAGGTGTGCTGGGGACTGGCAGCACCCCAATTCCCAGGGCCTTCCACAAGACCTGTGAAGGCTCCCCACCCAGCACCTGGGCCCCTTCTATGTAACCCCAACACGGCCCCTTCCAGCAGCCCTCTCGGACCAACGCTACCAGGTGGCGGGACGCAACGCCCCCAACCTGCAGCCTGAAGCCCAGCGACTCCAAAGCCCTGCGGGAGGGACCACTCCAGGGTAGACGATCAGTCTGGGGACCTCGGCCATCTTAACACGCAGGCTGAACCACAACTCCGGCTCAGGTGCAGGACCCCTGGGGTAGGGGCGCGCTGATTTAAGGGACCCCTCCCCCGGGGCACGCCTAGCGGACCAGGCCGGAACACACAGCATGCAGCGCCCCGTGGGCTGCCCCACACCATTCCAAAGTGTTCTCACCCCCGCCCCCCACCCTCCTTCCCCGGTGGGCCCTGGGTGCGGGCCGGAGCTCTGGGACCCAGCCACTTCCGCCGCCTGCACCCTGACCTTGGGCGGCGCGGCCCCCTTGGGACGTGGAACAAAGGGGACAGGGAAGCGAAAAAACTCGAGGACGCGCCAGGGGGCTGCCCGCACCGCGCCCA